TTTTTTTTATAAAAAGCAAACTTTGGGAACTGTGACTGTTTTGTTCTAACAGTGCCTGGCACATCCCATCTCTCATTAGGAGACTGACTAAAAGAAAAGAGTAAGGGACATCTCCTGTCTTGCCAAGCACAAGTGTATTATTTCTGATTAGTGAGTGAGGAAAGGTACAAATCACAGAATAAAAGATATAAATCTTTGTTTGAAATGCTTATAATGGTTGCCTATAAACACGTATAATTATAAGCAGAATGATGTAATGAATCCTCCTGAGGCTAACAGTTCGAACGACTCTTAACCGTTCATCTTTAACCCCATCTCTTTTGCTTCTTCCTTGACCTCTACTGTTTTAAAACAAGTACCATATAATATGCCTCAGTAGCATTTTAAGTAAAGTTTATTGATACTCAGAAATTTGAGTTTCTAAGGCATTTTTCTACTTGAGAAAAATCTCTGGCATTATGGAGCTTTTATCTTGATGGTCAAGACAGAGAATAAATACATTCATTAAAAAGTCATGCAAAAAGAAATGAAATGTGAGGGAAAGAAATTGGGATTTTTAGTTAAGGTGTTAGTAAGAGTTTCAGTGAGATGACTTGAGTAAATGAGCGTGAGAAAGCTAGATTTTCAACTGAGGGGTCGGTTTCTGTAGGGAGGGTTAGCAGAGGCCTGAGGCAGGAGCGTTCCCAGGGGTTTATGGCATAAGGATGGCAGATCCTCTTCTCCATGGCTGGGTGAGAGGCTGCAGAATCTTACATGATGGTAACTTTAAAGAGTAATGGTAACATCTTTTTCAAAGCTGGGCCAAGTATGACTTTTTCTGTTTCTTTTGAGACAGGGTCTTGCTATGTAGTACAGGCTGTCCCCGAGTTCACTATGTAGCTGAGGATGGCCTTGAATTCACAGTGTTCCTCCCGCCTCAGCCTCCTGAGTGCTGTGATATAGGCGTGTGACACCATGCCTGGCTAGAATATGATTTTTGTTTTTAAGATATTTTATAATAGTTTCCAAGGAATTATCGTGTCTTGCTATGGTTTGGATATGGTGCATCCCTATGAAGGTACATGTGCTAAGCTTGGTCCCCACTTTGTGGAAGTAAGGGAGGTGGGATATTTAGTGAAATACTTAGTGGAAAATGCATAGGTCATGGCATGCGCTGCTTTGAGAAGGGATTAATGTTGAATAAAACTGAGTGAGTTATCCAGTTAGTATATTGTTATTTAAGAAGGCCATGCAACGAACATAGCTGCTTCTATGCATGACTTTCACTCTCTGCTTTTTGGCTTTATTATAATGTAGTTGAAGGCAGCCATCCTTGAGACAGAATAGCTAGAACTGCTTTCTCTTATACTTTTGGCCACCAAAACAGAAAAATAAGCTTGTTTTCTTTATAAGGTTCACAGCCTTAGGTGTTTTCTTATGGCAACAGAAAACAGACTAATGCATAAATCTGACATTAGAGTTGTAGGTGAATGGACAAATGATTTTGAGATTAGAGCCTCCTGGCTTTTGTGACATTTTAGCATAATTTGAAGAACTTTGGATTGATAGGGCCTTGTGAATTATCTTAGAAGTGATTAAATTGGTTGGTATTACATTCTGCAAAAGAATGTGGGAATATAGCTCATTTTAACCAGGCAATTTAATCACTTCAGTGGATCCTGTGAATATTTAATCTCTACCAAGCAGACCAATTAATGTATCCATGTTTTAGATATTTTGGGTGTCTTGCTTTCTACTTTAGAAAAGTGAAATGCCTAAGGGATAAACATAATTCTTAGCCTCTTAAATTTCTTTTATTTT